TGGAGAGATGGGCCCACCGGAGGCTTCAGAAGCCCAGGGTCGGGCCCTGGCTGAGCACGCAGTCTGACCAGGCAGGCTGCCTCCCTGGCGAATCTGATGTGTTTCCCAGAACCGAGGGCTGCAGCCAGCCTGTGCAGGGCGGGGCAGACTGGCCTTCCCGACATATTTTCCCTCTGGATTCACAGGGGGAGGTGGCTTGGGCAGCAGGCAGGCAGTGGGCGCCCACACGTCTCCTGGCCCGGCAGGCCTCTGCCAGAAACACTTGGGCTAGGCTAGGGCCTGGGGCATCTCCCCGCCAGCACTAGCCCCTCTCTCTGCCCCGGTCTGGCTGGGCTCCTGGAACCAGTGGGTCTAGTATGGTGGGTAGGCGGGGCTGGCAGAGAGAAGGGTCCGGCCCGCAGGCTGCACGGCTAATGAGGCGCTCGGGCAGCTACACGCAGCTGGATTCCGTGGTCAAGGGACACAGGAGTTGTGAAGGGTTTGGGGGTCCTGCATTCTGGGTTAGAAACCTCATGGGGTGATTGACGCCCTTTATGCCCCCCCTCTGGGTTGAATAAAAACAAGAATCACCCACGGGGTCAGCTGTGTCCTGAACTGCTGAAGGACGGTGACACAGGGAGACTCTTGGGTGCTGGACACCACTCCTCCATAGGAGTGTCAATGGCTGTGAACTTTAGGAAGCAGACTGCCAGCCCGAGCCTCAGAGGCACCGCTGGGTGGGTTCGAACTGCCAACCTCTGTACATTGAGGACATGCTGCTTGTGCCACCCAGAAATCCTGAGGCTAAGTTAGGTCTTGTTGAGTGAGATGCACACTGGGATCAGGACTCCGCAGATGTTAGTGCACTTCATCCACTCCACAATGACCCCCTCACTCGACAGGCCAGCCAATGGAGACACAGAGAGGTCAGGCGACTTGTCCCAGGTCACACAGCAAGGCTGCGCTGGGATGAATTCAAATCCAGGCACTGTGGCCCTGGCAGGCCTCGGAGCGCTGTATAGAGTACAGTGGTGGCTGGTGATGTCCTTATGAACAGAACGATGTTTACATTAATTGTAAGGAATACTAATGATGCTACACTGCGGATCAGGGCTCCCCAGGCCCTCCCACCTGCCCGAGGAGCCCCTAAGCTGGCAGGGACAGAGCAGACCCAGGGCTGACCTGGAGAGTCACCCACCCCAAACTTCTCTACCTGAAAGTCTCGGTTGTGGTGGGAGGTGTCTCTAGAGGCCCCCAACAACCAGTCTAGTCACAAGAGTGCTCGGCCGGCCCTTCGCCTGGCCCTGGGAGACTTAGGAGGGTTTTCTGGAGACGGGGAGATGGGGGTCCAGCCTGGAAGGGTGGAGGAGGGGACTCAAGGAGTTAGGAGCAGCGAGCAATGGGCATCGAAGCCACGCAGCGGGAACTGTTCTCTAACGTGAGACCGGCGTGTGTGGACAGGAGGGGGCCTGGCCATGGGAAGGGGGCGTGGGGTCCAGGGGGCAGGAGCGTGAAACCAGAGCTGTCCTTCTGTGAGGCCCCTTTGCCCTCTGTGCACACGGGAACATCCTCAGGGCCTCCACCTCTGCCTGGAATGCCCTTCCCCGAGGCCCAGCCACAAACAGGCCACGTGTGTTGCAGCCCCAGCCCCGTGCTGGACCTGTGGCAGGGGCCTGGCTTCCATGTGCCCTTGTCCTAGCTGCAGGAGCCACATGCCAGCTCGGGCCCCGCGCGGTGGTTTTCCCAAGAAATCCAGAGCAGGCTGGGGGCGGCCCCCAGGTGAGTCTAACGCCAAGGAAAACAGGAGGTGAGCTCATGGCCCAGCCGCAAGCAGCAGGCAAGGAGCTGTTGGGGCTCTGGCTCTGTAGGAAGTGCCTGCGCTGGGGCTGGCTGTGCCCTCCCAGCCTCCTATACAAAGCTGCCCGGACTCACTCACCCTCTGTGGCTCCCCAGGGTCTTCAGCCTGAGCCCTACATCACTAGCATTGCCCCTCCACAACCCATCTCTCGTGTTTCCCTGAACCTCAAGCGTTCACCACCCCCACACCCTTCCCAAAAAAACCCTCTAGTAAATATATGGAACAAGCCTTTGTCCATTTGAACCGTTTTTACAGACTTTTCGTCGTCATCATTGTTAGTCACCGAGGCGTAGGGTGTACAGCACACCCACGGGTGCCGAGCACAACTTGGATCGCCAGACCTTTCCCTGAAGGCATTTGAACCTTTAAAAAATGTCCCGGTCAGTGGCATTCATTACATTTGCCAAGTTGCACAGCCATTACCACCATCCATGTTCAATGCCTTTCCATCCCCTTAACAGAAGGTCCAGTGACTCTGAAGTACAGTATATACTCATGTACAAGCCGCGTTTTTCAGCACATTTGTATGCAGTTTTTTTAAATCATTTTATTGGGGACTCATACAACTTATCACAATCCATACATACATCAATTGTATAAAGCACATTTGTACATTCACTACCCTCATCATTTATGCAGTTTTTGTGGTACAATTAGGTGCCTCGCCTGATATTCCGGTTGGCTTATACTCGAGTATATGCAGTAATAACTCCCCATTCTCCTATCCCCCAGAGCTTTGTAACGACTGATACACTGTACCTATGGCACTGTCAACCCTGAGTCTGGCGGTTCAAACCCAAAAGTGGCTCAGCAAGAGAAAGACGAGGCTGTCTGCCCTCATACTGGTTTCCAGCCTCGGAAACACCAGATAGGGTCACTCTGAGTCACACTGCTCCTGAGAGACCAGGAGGGTGAGACTTCCATCTTCCATCCTTTGGATGTGTGGTCAGGAGAGACCAGTCCTGGGGAAGGCCATCATGCTCGGGAAAGTAGGGGGGCAGCCAAAAAGAGGAAGACCCTCGACAAGACAGACAGCTCCAGTGTCTGTATCGATGGGCTCGAACCTACGAACAATCGTGCGCAGGGCGCAGGACCGGGCAGGGCTTCCTCCTCTTGGACAGAGGGTTTTTATGCATCTGAGCCGACTTGCTGGACCTCACAGGATGAGTCAGGATGGACTGGGCAGTTGCTTTCAGTGGGATGGACCACACCAGTCCTTAGTGCTGGTCCTACTTTGCTGCATGTGCTTGGGCGGTTCATCCGTGTAGTAGAATATATCTGGACTTCAGTTGTCTTTAGGGCCGTGCTGTGTGTATGCAGTCACGTGCTCATGGACACGGGTTGTGGCCACCTTGTGGCTTCTGTGGATTGCACTGTAACCCACTCCCGACACGTGTCAGCTTATTCTTGCTTCCAGGCCTTTGCTGCTGTTCCCTCGGCCGGGACACCTGTCCACCGTCTCTCTGCTTGGCACGTGCTTCTTCGTCTTCCAGGTCTCCTCCTCCTCCTTTGGGAAGCCTGCCCTGACTGCCTCTCAGCTCTGGACGGGGTCAGGCACCTCCTCACTCAGCTTTGTGGGTGACCACTATAACTGCTTCCCCAGGGACAGGCTGCGCCCAGAAGGAGGGACCAGGTGTGACTTGCGGACACTGTGTCCCTGGTGCCCATCAGGAGATGGCGTTTGGGGCTTTGGAGGACGAAGCCAAGAGGGTTAGCTATGGGACACCTATTGTAAATGTGGGTCACTACCCAGAGCGAGACAAACTCGAGGCACACCTGTGACAAACATAAATGTGCCTGAAAAGCTCCTGTCTCCAGGTCTTTACCTAAGCACTCCCCTCTGCCCTCGTTTCCCTCCTGTGCTGACCTGAGGCCTCGCCTTCCTTTGGGTCCCCTTCGCCGCTGCCTCCAGGGAGCTCACAGGCTTCTCTGCGGCCCCTGGCTTCTGCCCTGCCCTTTGAAGGGGCCATAAGCTGGGTGCTTCTCCTCTCTAGGCCTCAGTCTCCCCCTGCTGACTCTGTCCAGGAAGCTGAGGTGTTTCCAGAGGAGCTTACAAGTGGCTGCTGGTCTTGTCCCAATGAGCCATTCTTTCACGGTGGGACATCCCTACTGCATGTGGGACCAGCTCTCGGATGCACTGCAGCCTGGACAGACAGAGGCCCTGAGGACCCCCTGGGGCCTCGGACACTAGAGTCCTTCCTGCCATCCCCTCCCCGGGGGGCGTGGCGTATCCCAGATGGTGATGAGCACGCAGGCCTCATTGCATAGGGAAACGGAATCACAGGCTAAGAAACTGAGGCACGGAGAAGAGTGGGCTGTGGGAACCCAGGGCCGTCAGATTTCTGGCCCTGGGAGACTTCAGGGAGGAGACAGGGGACTCTTGCCACCATCTGGGGAAACCAGGACCTGGGCAGGGAGACTGAGGGTCCTTGTGCTCATGGCTCCTCCCTCCCTCCCATCACCGCCCTTGAACCAGTATTATTATCATCACTGACAATATTACCAGGGAGGAAACTGAGGCACAGAGGCCCCTCATGGGTCCATTGGCCTGGTGGAGAAGCAAGCCAGGAGGGAGTGGAGGATGGGTGGGCCTGACTTGAAAAACTGCTGTCCATCCACTGGGACTGTTTCCCCGCTGCCAGCTGTGCCCCAGGCCTGGCACACAGCTAAAGCAAAACAAACCCATGCTCAATTCCAATTCATAGTGACCCTACCAGACAGAGCAGAGCTGCCCCCCAGCCCCCGCACCCCGCCGGGGTTTCCAGGGATGTAAACATCCCCTGGTGGTAGGGCCTCATCTGTTTCCTGGTTTCGAACTGCCAGCTTTTCGGTTGGCAGGCCAACCCACTGGGTCCGCAGAGCTCCGCTGGCATACAGCAGACACTTAATAAAAGAGTGGGAGGGCTGGTCCAGTCTGGCCCCCCGACTCACCATCCCACTTCACAGCCCCCCTGACTCAGTTTCCCCGTGTCCCAGTTCAGCCACAGCTACCGGCCACCTAGCTGGGCAGGCGGGCCGAGCGGTTGAGCACGGCCAGCGGCGCCCCGCCCGTCTGTTTACCTAGGGCTGGGCAGGGCCGCCGGTGGGCCGTGCCTGACCGCCAGATAAATGAGCCCTGCGACCTCGTGGGCAACAGAGCGTGCTGAACGCCCAGAGCCCCGCCATGGCCCGTGCCGCCACCTGCGTTCTTTTGCTCGCCCTGGGAGCCCTGGGTGCGTCGGGCCAGGGCCAGGGCCAGCTCCCGCCGGGTAAGCCCAGCTCCCCGGGGCTTCCCGCTGCTGGCTCCCCAGAAGCGGGGGGCCGGACCCTCGGGCGGAACGTCTCCTGGGGCCCCCGCAGACTGTGTGCTGGGGGGTGGAAAAAGCAGCCTGCGGGAGGCTGGAGCCCCATGTTCTGGAGGGGAACGCAGCGGGGAGTCCCAGGTCCCCCATGGGGGCGGAGAGTGGCGGGATACCCGTCTCCGGGTACCTCACCAGCGACCCCTGTCGTCGCAGGCGCAGACTTGGCCCCGCAGATGCTTCGCGAACTCCAGGAGACCAACGCGGCACTGCAGGACGTGCGGGAGCTGCTGCGGCAGCAGGTGCGGGGGCGGAGGGGGGCTCGGGGCGGGGTGCAGTGGGGAGCGCAGGGGAGAGGGGTCCAGGGCGGGCGCCAGGTGAGGGATAAGGGACGGGGAAGGACCTGGAGGAAGGGAGGTCGGTGCAAATGGGGGTGGGGCAAGGAAATGGGGGTGATAGGAAGGGGTGAGGGGACCAAGGAGGCGAGGGGAGAGTCGTCCCCGGGAGCGGGGAGGGGCGGGGGCACAAGGCGCTCCGTGTCAAAGTGGTCCGTACAGCGCGTGGTGAGCCCGGGCAGCGCCCCAGGGATCGGAAAGGGCCCGCTGAGCGCTCCCCGCCCCGCAGGTCAAGGAAATCACGTTCCTGAAGAACACGGTGATGGAGTGTGACGCCTGCGGTGAGCGCCGCAGGGCGGGCGGCTAGGGCAGGGGCGCGGGGAGGGGAGACCGGGACTGTGAGAGACGGAAGGGGAAGGAGACGGGCGGAGCGCGGGGAGCCCGCGCCCGCGTAGGCGCGCGGAAGGGGGACACACCGTGGGAAAGGCAACCGAGGACGCGCGGCGCGGGCAGTAGCCACGGGGACTGGGAGAGAGGCCTCGGGCCAGGAGAGGAGCTGGGGTCACCTGGGCCCCGGGGTGGGGCTGTGACCTGCCCGCCCGCCCCTTCGCAGGGATGCAGCCGGTGCTCACCCCGGGCCTGAGCGTGCGGCCCCTGCCCCGCTGCGGCCCGGGAACCTGTTTCCCCGGCGTGGTCTGCACGGAGTCGGCCAGCGGCGCGCGCTGCGGCCCCTGCCCCGCGGGCTACACGGGCAACGGCTCCCACTGCGCAGACGTCAACGAGGTCCGCCCGCCCCCACCCCGCCCCCTCCTCCCTCGCCGGGGGCGGCCGCTTTCCCCGCCCACGACCCTCGCTCGGACAAGAGCCCCGCCATCGGGGCGGAACCCCAACGAACCCCACCACCGCCTGGGGGTGCCAACCGACTACGCGCCCCGCCGCCGGGTTGATCCGGCCGGGGCGACCTCCCTTGCCACCCGAGGGGCCGGTCCCGAGGACCCGACCGCGCCAATAGTTCCCCCCTCACCGCCCGGGGCTCTGGGCCCAGATGAACCCCCGACTGCTGGGGTGATTCCGCCCCCAGGAGCCTCACCGTCTGGGAGCGCCTATCTCGACGACCCCCCCACCTCCGGGCTCCTTAGGTTTCGACTACCCCCCAACCGCCGGGTTCGGCGGTCCCAACGACCACTCCCTCCAGCCGCTGGGGACGCCCGCCGCCGCAGCCCCTTGCCCGGCTGATGAACCCTCGGGCCACCAAATCGGACAGCAGACCCCTCCAGGCGCCGCGGTGCCCCTCCCCTCTCCAACCGGGCTAAGCCAGGTTCACTCCTGGGAAGCCGGCCTCTGCCGCATCATGGCCCCCTGCCCGCCCCTGCACCCAGACTGAAGGCGTTCGCGCCGCGGACGTGCCCGAGGCGCCGCGCTCTGACCCTGCCCCCCTCTGCCCCCAGTGTAACGCCCACCCCTGCTTTCCCCGCGTCCGCTGCGTCAACACCAGCCCCGGCTTCCGCTGCGAGGCCTGCCCGCCTGGGTACAGCGGCGCCACGCACGAGGGCGTGGGGCTGGCTTTCGCCAAGGCCAACAAGCAGGTGAGGGGCGCCGGGCGCGCCAGTCCCCCAGCTGCACAGGGTGCGTTTTGTTCCATAAACGTTTACCTTCTCAGCCTGGCTGCGACGCAGGGGCGGGGAAGGCAGGGACTGAGGCCCGGGGGCGCGGGCAGGGGTGAGGGGAAGCGGACGTGCCGGGCGTCTGAATGCGCGGTGACCTCGGTGCCACGCCTTCGCACCCTAGGTGTGCACGGACATAAACGAGTGTGAGACCGGGCAGCATAACTGCGTCCCCAATTCCGTGTGTGTCAACACGCGGGTGAGTCCGGCGGGGCCGGGGTGAGGTGGGCACCGGTATAGGGGCGGGGTGGAAGAGCCTGTAGCCCTGCTGACCGCCCGCGGCCATGCGCAGGGCTCCTTCCAGTGCGGCCCGTGCCAGCCGGGCTTCGTCGGCGACCAGGCGTCTGGCTGTCAGCGGCGTGCACAGCGCTTTTGTCCCGACGGCACGCCCAGCCCGTGCCACGAGAAAGCCGACTGCGTCCTGGAGCGCGACGGCTCCCGGTCGTGCGTCGTGAGTGCGGGCGAAGAGGCCAGGGATGTGGTCCGGGAGGGGGACACGAGGCGACCCTAGGGCTGGGGGCGGGCAGCCTGAAGGAAGCGGGAGCCGTCCGGAGGGGGCGCGCACCCACTTCCCTTGTTGGCGCAGTGCGCGGTCGGCTGGGCTGGTAACGGGCTCCTCTGTGGCCGTGACACCGACCTGGACGGCTTCCCGGATGAGAAGCTACGCTGCTCGGAGCCACAGTGCCGCAAGGTGAGCGGGGTACGCCTGGGGCGGGGCCGCGAGATGGGGCTCCCCGAGACGGGCGTGGCCTGGCCTCTCGGGTCACGCCCTCACGCCTTCTTCCCGAGCCCACAGGACAACTGTGTCAGCGTGCCCAATTCAGGGCAGGAGGACGTGGACCGCGACGGCATTGGAGACGCCTGCGATCCCGACGCCGACGGAGACGGGGTCCTCAACGAGGAGGTGGGGCCTAGGGCGGGGCTTGGTGAAGGGCAGGAACTTGAGAGTGACCTTGTCCCCATCGTTTGGTCCCCTAACCCCCCTCGTCACCCAGGACAACTGCCCACTGGTGCGAAACCCAGACCAGCGCAATACGGACGGCGACAAGTGGGGCGACGCGTGCGATAATTGCCGGTCCCAGAAAAATGAGGACCAGAAGGACACAGATCTGGACGGCCGCGGCGACGCCTGCGACGATGACGTGGATGGCGACCGTGAGCGCTCGAGCGCGGGAAGGGGGCAGAGGGAGTGGGGCCTGGGGTCCAGTGTGAGTTTTGGGTAGGGTGGGGAGGCAAGCGGAGGCCAGAGGCGAGCACAGCCCCAGAGCCTGGCTGGAGTGTAGGCCAGTGGTCCCTGTGCGGGCACTTCCCTGAGCAGCTAGGAGTGAGCTAAGGTTTAGAGCCAGGGATTGGAAACCAGGCTGAGGGAGTGTGGTTCCCGCAGGGCGGTGGGGACCCAGCTGAGCTGACCCTGTGAAGACTGTTGCTCTCCCCTCCGTGCCCTCCACCCCCTCTCAGTGCCATCGAGTCAGTGCTGACTCAGCGATCTCTTAGGACATGGTAGAGCTGCCCCTGTGAGTTTCCAAAACGAATTCTTCACCAGAGTAGAGAGTCTTTCTCCCGTGAATCCGATCCTGGTTTCAGACTCCCGACCTGGTGGATCAGAGTCCAACACTAAACCATCATGGTGGGCCCTTCCACAGCCACCCTAACCCCCCAGGCTGGAGGCTGGCACAGGCAGGTGTCCTAGAGAGATGTAACTTTCCAGCCACAGGGAGCCAGGGGTGGCAAGCTCTGTGCCCTGACCCTGCTGAGGTCAATCTGGCACACCCTTATCTCCCGGGGCTGACCTCTCTCCCTGCCCCCACCCCCCAGGTATCCGAAATACAATGGACAACTGCCCCAGAGTGCCCAACACGGACCAGAAGGACAGCGATGGTGACGGCATAGGAGATGCCTGTGACAACTGCCCCCAGAAAAGCAACTCTGACCAGGTAGGGGTGCTACAGCCAGTGGGTGGGGCCATTCCTCTCTCCCCACTTGGTGCCCAGTCTGGGTGGCCCTTGGCGTTGGTAGGATTTCCGCTCTGAGCTGGGATAGGGGTAGGCTTCCGGGGCCCTCTGCCCTGACTGTGGTCATTCCCTCCCCAGAGAGATGTGGACCACGACTTTGTGGGAGACGCTTGCGACAGTGACCAAGACCAGTAAGGCGGTTGTTCTCTGTGTGTGTAGAAGCCCAGGATCGGGTAGTGCCCCTTAGGCTATTCTGGGAGTCTCATCACGGCTCTGTCCCTTCACCCTAGGGATGGGGATGGGCACCAGGACTCCCGGGACAACTGCCCCACAGTGCCCAACAGTGCCCAGCAGGACTCAGACCACGATGGCCAGGGAGACGCCTGTGATGACGATGACGACAATGATGGGGTGCCCGACAGTCGGGACAACTGCCGAGTGGTGCCCAATCCAGGCCAGGAGGATGCGGACGGTAAGGCACAGGACAGTAGGGCAGAACTGGGTGCGCGTGACAGGACCCTGTGTCGTGTCTGCGTGGGCGCGAGCCGGGTCTCTGTTTTGGGCAGAGCCTGGGACCCAGGGGGTGGGCCGTGGAGGTGAGTGGCAGGGCTTGGCCCTGAGGGCTTGAACATTCTCCCAGGGGACGGCGTAGGGGATGCATGCCAGGGTGACTTTGATGCCGATAAGGTGGTGGACAAGATCGACGTGTGCCCTGAGAACGCCGAGGTCACCCTCACCGACTTCAGGGCTTTCCAGACAGTGGTGCTGGACCCTGAGGGTGATGCACAGATCGACCCCAACTGGGTGGTGCTGAACCAGGTGAGGGCGGGGCTGGGGGCGGGGAGCCCAGGGCGCCAGGGCCAGAGCCTGACTCCCCTCTTTCCTGGCCCACCAACAGGGCATGGAGATTGTGCAGACCATGAACAGTGACCCTGGACTGGCAGTAGGTGAGATGCTGGCTGGCAAGCTGTAGCCAGCGATGCTGTGCCTGGGTCTGGGAGGGGCGGTTGGTTGCTGCTGCCTGGGCATGGGAGGGGCTGGACCATTTTCTGGGGCCATAGCCACATCTGGACCCCAGACAGGCGGAGTCGACCTCTATGGCCTTGGCTGTGTCCAGGGTGCCGAGTCACCCAGCGCCTGGAGGGTCGATGCTCTGGACCATTCTGAGTGTCCATAGGGCCTGCAAAGATGGTAGACCCGACAGGTAGCCTTCGTTCTTCCCCCCACTCCCTGCAGGTTACACGGCCTTCAACGGCGTGGACTTTGAGGGCACATTCCACGTCAACACCATCACAGACGATGACTATGCCGGCTTCATCTTCGGCTACCAAGACAGCTCCAGTTTCTACGTGGTTATGTGGAAGCAGATGGAGCAGACGTACTGGCAGGCGAACCCCTTCCGTGCCGTGGCCGAGCCAGGCATCCAGCTCAAGGTGGGAGGGGTGCCAGGCCTGTGTCCCTTGTCCCTGGGGGGCCCTTAGACCTCTCCTCAATGCTCTCCTCCACCACCTCTGACCTCCCTGGAGCCCCACCAGCACCCTGACCTCCCCCAAAGACCTCCCTTCTGGAACATTCTTCCTCTCTCCACATACCCACCTGCCAGGCACTCCCAAAGCCTGCAGGCACTCCCAGGCCTCCAGCTCCACTACTACATGACCTTAGACCCCTCCACAGACCCTAATCCTCCCATAAGTCCTCAACACTACCTCTGGGTCCCCTAACTTTCCCCCGTACCCCTAAACCTTCTCTCAGCACTTCCAAATGGCTCACGAGACTCCCAACCCCAGTACAGCCCTGAAACCCTTCAGCAGTTCCTCCGGGTCCTCAGACTATGGTTCATCAGTGGATCCCTCAAAATGTGCTAAGGTCCCCCTGCAGGTCCCCCACACCCTCCCAGACCCCAAACCTGTCCAGCTCTCAAATCCTCTCACAAGCCCCAAGGCCAACTCCACCCCATAACCCACTAAAAGCCCCCATTTGGCATCGAGGAGGCTCCTGGGGGGCCTCATCCAGCACCACCACCCCCCAGCTAGCATCCCTACAACCCTGTCAGGCTTTTGGGAGGGGGGCTATGCTGACCCGGCCCATCTGAGCCCCTCCCCACTGTCTCTGTCGGGGTGACAGGCCGTGAAGTCGTCCACGGGCCCCGGGGAGCAGCTGCGGAATGCGCTGTGGCACACGGGGGACACAGCGGCGCAGGTGCGGCTGCTGTGGAAGGACCCTCGCAACGTGGGCTGGAAGGACAAGACGTCCTACCGCTGGTTCCTGCAGCACAGGCCCCAAGTGGGCTACATCAGGTGGGGGGCCCCAGCCCACAAATGGGCCGGATCACTCCTGGTTGCACCCTGCCCCACCTCCGGGGCCCCAGGTCTCCTTTTCTGTGAGCGGGAATGAGGAGGGGAGGTGCACACAGTGGGTCTTGCCCGCCCTGCCTGTCCTTCCAGGAGGTTGGAGGATCAGCTCCACACTGGTTCCTAAGTCATGCTTAAGTCAGGGCCCCACCCATGCTGACACGGACAGCCCTCCACCCCCATGCCCACCCCCAAGTGGGGGGTCCTGTAACCCGGGCAGGTACACTGAGGGCTTAGAGGGTGGGCTTCTTCCCGCCCGCCTCACTGGCCTTTTCTCACCGCTCAGGGTGCGATTCTACGAGGGTCCAGAGTTGGTGGCCGACAGCAATGTGATACTGGATACCACTATGCGGGGCGGCCGGCTGGGGGTCTTCTGCTTCTCCCAAGAGAACATCATTTGGGCCAACTTGCGCTATCGCTGCAACGGTGAGCAGCGCGCTTGGGAGACTGGGGCGGGTCGGGTGGGTACGCCCCTCTTCTCGCCACGCCCCTGACCACGCCTCCCTCCCCTCGCCACGCCCCTCCGCAGACACTATCCCCGAAGACTATGAGGCCCAGCGGCGGCGAGCCTAGAGACTGCGTTTGGGGACTCTCCATGGGAAGAGCTGCGGACTGCCCCTCAGTCTGGAGAAGGGAGGGGGGCTGTGAGAGGGCGAAATAAAGCGGTGTGTGTGTGTGTGTGTGTGTGAACGGTGCTGCTGCTTGTCTGCAGAGGGCTGGACTGGGGTTTCCAGTGTACCCGAGCATCCTGCAGTGGACTGAGCGCTTCTGGCCCAATTTAGAAAGGCCCTGCTCCCGCTAGGCCTGCACTGCGCGCATCACCCCCACCCCAACCCCCGTCTCCGATGCGTGCGATGGCCACACGTGGGCCCTTGGGTCATATGCCCCAGAACCCAGGAGTGGGACTCTCCGGGACCTAAGTTTGAGGGTCCACCCCTGGCCAGACATTGGGCCCAATGAGCGGCTCACTGGCCTTGCTAAATTCACACACAGGGCCATGGGTGGTCCCTGGGGATGCCTCTGGCTCCTCTGGAGGGGGCGGACAGGGATTGGAAGGAAGGATGAGGCAGAGACGGAAAACATCGGAGTTTTATTACATTTCATTACAAAGATGCAAAGGTACAAAGACAGAAGCATCCACGCCGAGGGAGGAGGGCGGCCAGTCCGCCAACCCCGCCGCCACAGTACATGCTGGGGGAAGGGCAGGCCACAGGTTTGCATATATCAGCGGGGCACCCAGCCCCTGGGAATTCCTACCGAGGGGTGGGGGGCACATGGTTGCCTCCCAGTCAGGGTGCTGGGCTAATGAGGCTGCGCAAAACTGCCCCCAAATTCTAGTCCCCTGTAGTTGGGGACACAGGACCCTTGCAGCAGGCGCTCACCCCGACTCCAGCCCTGCTCCCCATCTTTGAATGCTCTGAGCCACTGAAGACTTGGCTAGGCAGAGCGTGGCCCTGACCCTCCACGCCCTTGTGAGTGGAGCCAGGTACCACGGGGCAGGCCACAGGGAGCAAGGTGTCTCACCTCCCTGCTCTTGGGGAGCAATGATCAGAGCAGTGACCACAGCCCGCGCAGGGGTGAGGCCTGCCTGTGCCTGGCCAGGGTTGTGGAGGCTGAGGGGGCCTCTCCCCATCACTGACCACCGCTGGCCAGGCAGAGAGCCTGCCCAGGAGCAATAGGAGGACGTCAGGGGCTGCACAGCGTGGGAGACCCCCAGAAGTGGGGGCCTAGAGGGTATAATGCATTCAGCATGCTGCTCCCCCCAGGGGGGCCCTGGCTCCCCTGCTGTGCCCCAGATGAATAGTGGTTCACGACCTCAGGGCAGACCTGTAGCTCCAAGCCAAGGGGGTTCTATCGCCACAACAAGGCCCTCCAAGTCTGGGCCCCCGCACTGTCACCCCTCTGATGTCTCCCAGCCCCAGCCCCAGCACTGAGCATCTCCTCCCGCACTGGGTTTCTGCATGTTGGGTCCCCCAATGCCCTAGACTCTGCAGAGGCCCCTGAATCGACAGTGGATGGTGCCTCCAGGGCCTGGTGAGGGTGACCAGAACGGAGGAGGACAGAGGCAAGACCCCTCTGTACTGCCAGGCATCACCCACTCCATTCAGCCTGAGCCAAGACTGGGGTGCCAAGACAGCTTTGGGGAACACAGAACAGGGCAGGTGCATAGTTAATGTTTGGTCACAAGTAAAAGGAAGGGCCAGAATGGGGCTGGTCCCCTACCTCCTCAAAACCTCTGGATTTCCCAAGGGTCATGCTAACTGGCTCATCAGGCCCAAGACAGTGGGTGGAGGTGGCCTTCAGCAGCAGGTGCTGAGCTCTGCTGTAGCCAATGCCAGGCCCGGGCCCAGACTCAGGTCTGTCTCCACGTCAGACCAGACGGGACAGCCTGAGATCCGTGGGGCCTCACCCTCCGCGTGGAGGTCTCACGTCACTTAACTACACCCAGCCTTGGGATGCCATCCTGGGGCACCAAACTCACTGCCATCCGACTCCCAGCACCCCTGGAACAGGGTAGAACTGCCCCTGTGGGTGTCCGAGATGGTCACTATTTATGGCAGATGACAGCCTCATCTTTCTCCCCCGAGCAACTGGCGCTTTTGAACTGCGGACCTTTCTGATCACAACCCAACACAACCGTGTCACCAGAGCACCTTCCTGGGGGCACCGTTGCCCCAACACCGGGCCATGCCTCCCTGACCGTGACTCAGGACCTCAGGGGGCGCAGGATAGCGAGAGAGCCAGTGAGAGGCAGGCGCCAGTGGAGATGTCCTTTGAGCTGAAGGTTCCCCCCTCCACGTGCCTCGCCTCACCCTGGCACCCACAGCCTTGTGCTAGGGGGGCCCCGAACTTCTATAGAAGGGCCCACCCGTCGGGCGCCCATGTGATGGGCTTCCTCTCACTAGGCAGCCACCCAGTGTCTGGGTGCCGCCAGCTGCAGAATTCCTGACTCTGACAAAGTGTGGACAAGGCCATCCTGACGGGTCTCAGCCTCCATTCTGAGAGCCTGGCCCCTACCCTCTTGGGAAGGCCTCAGGAGGGCTGGGGTGTGCAAGAGGGCAGGAAGGGGCCAACGGCACCAGCTTGTTCCACATCTAAGGGCAGTGTGGGGAGCCAGTGTCTCACCCAGTTGCCTGTTATCTGTGACCGGGGGTGGTGGTGGCACCCCATAAGATCTTTGGTCCCCGTCCTGCAGCCTCCCAGGGCACAAACCCCTCTTCTGATAACACAGTGGGGAGCTAGCCAGGTCCCCTTGGCTCAGGTGCCAAATGAGAGAGCAAGCCCTCTGTTCCTGAAGACCCAAGACTGGAGGGGAAACGGAGGCAGGGATATATTGGGTGGTGTGGTGGGGAGGCTCGCTCTCAGTCAGCTCCTGTACTGGGGAACTTGGCCAGGTTGGGGACAAACTGGAGTGTCTTGGCCTGCTCCATGCAATGATGACAAAGGCACCAGGCCTATCTACCGGATTCCAGAGTCCCCCATGGTATTTTTACACCAAACAAAGGACTGCTCCTGCCAGCTGTTTGTCTCGGAGAGGCCTGGCAGCTCAGCGTATTGAACGGCAGGGATCCCGACAGACACAGAGCAATCCTACCACACCGCCGGGAGCTGGGAGAGCCTGGACTCGCTGACACCACCTCCCAGTTGGCCTCAACCTCTCCCGTCCCTGCGAAACTTCAGGCGCACTGGTCACCTCCTGGATGGCAAAGCAACACAAAGACAGCTGGGTTGCTGGCTCATACAACACAGGGGTGCACAGCAGGGCATAGGTCCCCCAAATCAACGCGCCCTCCACTGACCCTTAGCTGGCCGGGCAGATGGAGATCACGGAATTAAGGCCGTTGTTTAAAAGTCCCACGTACAAGTCTAATCATCAAATGATCCTATGTACAGGTTACATGTAGTTTCTCTTAAAAAAAATATCAAAGTCCCCACCTCTCATCCCAGCCCCTGCCGCACGTGGCCCCAAGAACCACGAAAAGGGGGCCGGCTCTCAGAAGGCGAGGACATCACAGGGGCCAGCCATAGTGTCACGGGCAGAGGGGCATGTACCAGAGGGGAAGCCCCCCAGCCTGAGCATGGCCAGCAGGAGAGAGAGCAGGCGAGGGGTGGAGCCGGTTCAAGTTCCAAAGTAGCTGCAGAGCGTGGGGTCACCCTGCAGTCCCCTCAACGGGTCTGTAGTGCAGAGGGTCAGAGATGGTCCAGGGCCCAGCCCCAGCCCCAGGTCCATCACTGGCCTGGGGGTGGGAGCATTTCGAGAAGCACCTGGAACCTTCTAGAACCTGGGTGGAGGATGGGCTTGGACAGCGTCCCTTTGGCCAGCCCAACGCCTATGGCCAGGAACACTATGTGGTCCTCACAGCCCCTCAAATAAAAACTGACTCCTGCCCAGGGAGCTGAAATGCTGGCGGACCCAGTGCTCTGGACAACTCGGGATGTACCCATTCCAGTGAGGAGTGAAAATGTACACGAGGGGGCTGGGGCTGAAACATGCTGGCAGCCAGGGGTTGGCCGGAGTGTTCGGTTCTTGTCTACGAGCAAAATGTAAACATGAACCAAAGAAAAACCACCACAGCAGAGGGGCCCTGGCCCACCCACCCCACCCGCCCTTACAGAGCAAGACGGACTGGGAGCAGCACGCCCGAGGACAGCTCAGCAGGCGGTGGGAAGATGCTGAAAGCCTCCCTGAGCATCTGCCAATGGTCCTCCAGGCCTGGGGTGGGGGTGGGATGCCAGGAGGGGCATCTCACAGCAGCGGTGACCAGGGACTGGCCAGGGCAGGGGTGGTGGGGAGAGGCAGGGGAAAGGCTCCTGCCAGGGCTGCTTTCGTCCACACCGCCCCTCCGCTGCGTGCGGCCCGGGCCGTGCGTGTGCTCAGAAATAGAAAAGACAGCGGTCAAAATAGTGTTTATTTTGCTCTGGGCCCGGGTCCCCTCTGGTGCCGGCTCCCTGGGGTGGTGGAGGGCGGGGCGGCGGGAGGCAGTGAGAGCTGGACAACAGTCGGAAGGGGCACCTCGAGGTGCCCAGGCCAGCGGCCCCATCACATGCTTCTGCTACTGAGACGGACACACTCTCGCCCCAGGCAAGGGGGGTAGCGGGCAACGAGAGTGCGCAGGGGCGGGCGGCAGGCAGGGGGCTCAGCCTCCGACCCCCACCCAGTGCCAAGCGGACGGCCCAGGCGAGCGGGCAGGGACAACCAGAAGGTGGCCTTGAGCTGGCGGCTCAGGCCTCCAACCCCCACCCAGCCCGGCCGGCAGCCTCACGCTGGGACAAGCGAGTGGGTGACGACCAGGAGGCATCGGGCGGGCGGGCGGGTGGGGGGCGCTTGGCAGCATGGCAAGCTCAGAATACAAGCTCGGCCAGTGCGTGGCGGCGCTGTGGGGACCACTGACCGCGGCGTGGACGCGGCGATGGTGGCGGCGGCTGCTCAGAGGCGGTCCATCCGGAAGGTGTCCTCGGTGGCTGGGTCGGCCAGGACCATGTCGGGGTCGTTCAGCATGTGCAGCCCGTCCAGGGTCAGGGGGTCAATCTTGAGCTCGTCCAGGGGGAACTGGGCGTCGGCGTCGAAGCTGACATCACCAACCCCGGCCAGCGAGTTGGTCAGTTCTTTTGAGAGGCTGGGTGGGGACTCGCCAGTCACTGGGGGAGGGACAAAAGGCCCAGCTGAGCCCCTCCACCAACACACACACACTCTCACCCAAGGTAACTCTCTGCCCGGGGGCCACTGGGCAACGTCTGCAGACAGTCTGCGTTCACACTCGGAGGGCTGCCGCTGGCATGAAGTGTGTGAAGCCCAGGGGTGCCCGTCCCCATGGTCATGGGACCCCGGAGGGCAACAGTGCCGAGGGAGGAGGGGGACACAGGCATGAGTGACTGATTTGGGAGAGTGAGTTAAAGCCTTGGCTACCGCCACACAGGAGACTAAGTTTCCCATGATTCAGATAGTTTAAACCAGGCTGCGTCTCAAAAGCAACCCAAACCCCCCAAACAGACCCATTTGCCATGAGTGGACCCTGAGTTGTGGTGACCCACACGGGTCCGAGCAGACCTGGCCTCGCAGGTCCCGTGGCTGACCTTTGGGGAGCAGACGGCCCAGCCTTTCTCCCCAGACACGGGGTGGACTCACACTTGCACACTTGTCGTTTGCAGACGTGCACTTCCCCACTTTCACCACCAGGGGCCCCTCGAGCTTCTGTGAATCCCCCTACACACACTGGTGGGACTGGGGGTGGATTTCAGTATGCGCTGTGTCCTAAGAAGCCAGCTGATGAGCAGGGGTCTTGGAGACAGTAGGATTCCCACGCCCAGGAGTTCTCACCGGGGGCAACTGTCACCTCAGCCACGTCTGGAGGGCATGAAGGAGGTGGAGGCCAGGCTGCTACTCCACGACTCTACCTGCCACGGGGCACCCCCTCCCAGAGGGTGATCTGGTCTGGTCCCAAGCGGTGGTCGTGCTAGGACCCCTCCTCCACACAACCCCGGCTACCAGGAGGTTCTCGTGGGCAAGCACACGGGTCTGGGGCTGGCAGTGTGGGCACAGGGAAGGCAGTGGAGGGCCAAGGACTTCCCTGTGGGGACACAGTGCAGGGTGGGGGGCACGCAGGGACTGAGTTCCCAGCAGAGATTTCAAACCAGGAAGCCCCAGGTGCTTCAAGAAATGAGGCTCTGGGCCTCCGTCTCCCCATCTGGGAAGTGGGTGGACACATCACTGACCCCCCCTGTGCTGAAGGGACTCCTCTAGGGGAGCCCAGGCCACAGGAGGCTCCCCTGGGAGATGCCAGCACTGGACCACAGGAGCGCACTAGCTCCTCTCCATACCAGCAGCTGGTGGGTGTGTGTGTGTGTGTGGGAGGAGCTGTGGGAGGGCCTAAGCCTGGTGCTGGAGGGGGCCCTGCTTAGGCCCTCAGCGACGCTGGGCATGGTGTGTGAGTTTTGACACGTCAGACACGCCATGGGCACATGTCCCAGCCAACCAGGCCCCAGTGGGGCGTGGCTGTGTCTCTCTCCGGCTGGAGGGGAGTGTGTGTCCCGGCCTCCCCAGTCCCCACTCACCTGTGAGGATGATGTTGGGGATGCCCCCGTGGCTCGGGTACCCCAGAGGTGCGGTGTCCGGCAGGCTGCCGTGGCTGCCCGTGAGCCCCATCATGGCAGCCTGTGAGTAGCTGAGCGTGGAGCCCGGGCTGTACAGGCTGCTGGAGCTGATGGCACCTTCCACCATGTTGAACTGCTCCAACTGTGGGGCCGGGGACCACGTGGCTGTCAGCCTGGGGGCACCCTCCCCCACACCCACCTGGGTCCCCATGGATGAAGATGAGCTAGAGGGGTGCCAGTCTCACCTCCTCCGGTCCTGACCCCACCCCTAGCCCAACGCCTGCTCCCAACCTGGCCCAGCCTTGCAGCCTCTGTCTCACCCCCACCCTCTCCTGGCCCTGCCTGCCCACTCCAATCCCCACCCTACTCCATGGCCCCCTTCCCCTGACACCCAGTGTCCAGGTAATATGGCCTGTCTCGGTCCTATCCCACCATCCAGGCCCACTCCCCTCCCCACAGGTTCTGGGCTGTTGGGACTGGGCCCTGGCATGGGCCCGGCTCACCTGATGGGACAGGGCATTGGCTTGCCTAGCTGCCATCTGCTGCTCATAATAGGAGTCCCCAAAGACGCTGCCCAGGGTGGAAGTGTGCTGTGGACAGAGAGGCTGCTGAGTGAGGGGCTCTGGCCAAGTCAGGCTTCTAGGACTTGGGAGAGATGGTGACATTTGCTCCAGGGACCCCACCCTCAGGATAGAGGGGCAGAGATGGGGGGTGTCTGATGCCCTGGGATAGCCACTGCCTCCCATGGTAGCCTGTCACCCCGGGCACAGGGGGTCCTTCCCCCACAGGTGTATGCTGGGAGCGCCAGGGCAAGGCCCAGAGAGGGAGATATGACTGGGGTCACCTCCCCTACTCAGCGCAGAAAAGGGTGTTTGGGGGTCTCTTCCCAGCCGTTGCCGCTGCCACTGTCCCGCCCTCACAGGTTGCACAACACGTGGGCTGGCCATCCACACGCTGAGCAAACACCTGGACCTTCTACCCCTGAGGTTTATCTGGAGAAAGCCCGTGGCATGCCCTGATGGGCGGACGCTGACTGAGCTCCCAGGTACTGGGACCACAGCCAGGGCGGGGCGGCCTCTGGTGAGACCAGTGTGGGGTTGACCAGCTGGCAGCTGTGGGTGAGTGAGCAGGGCTGAGAGCAGACATGGGCATCCAGGAAGACAAACGGCCCTCGGCTTCTCAAGGCCAGGAAAGCAGCTGGCGAGGGCAGGATGCGGGCACGCTGGGGGTGGATCCTGTTTCCCCATGAGCTGCGCCAGTCCTGCCCATCCCGTGGCCGAGCGAGGCCTTGTTTGGAAGAAGGGCCTGGGCGGACCCAGGGACCTCAGGGGAACACGAGGTCCTACAGGGGCAGGTGACTCCCGCCCCTAGGAGAGAGGCCAGCCGGGAAGATGCAGAGACAGCTCAGCTGCCTGTGCTCAGAGGCCGGAAGTCAGGACCAGGAAGGCCCCTCCCAGCTGACTCTAGCTTGTGAGAGCTCCGGTGCTGTCTGAAGGGCCCTCTGTGGGACGGTGGGGCAGTGGTCACAGGAAACTCGCGTCCTCGTCCTCGCCTGTCCTCGCCAAGCAGCGTGACATGGTGCGAAAGGGAGCCCCCAGGCTCAGGCAGGGCAGTGCAGGGGTGAGACGTGCTGGGCTGCGACACACCAGGTCGGCAGTTTGAAACCACCTCCTGCTCTTCCGGAGAAAGATGGGGCTTTCTACTCCCGTAAGGAAACTCACAGGGGCGGTTCTGCCCTGGTGGCTGTGGGTCGGCACCGACTCGATGGCAGGAAGTGAGTCCGGCCAAGGAACAGAGACAGGGACAGGACCAGATCCAGCCCCATGGCCACGGCTTCTCTGAGACCAGAGCTGGATAGGTGCTTGTCCCTGGACGGGCCGCCCCACCCTGATAGCCCCGGATGCAGCGGTCAGACGGACGGCACTTGTTCTCTGTACAGGACCAGCCAGCCTGCTTCAGAGTTTGGGTCTGACAAGTGACCAATGGGGGGACGCCTGTCCTGCCATGTGTGCTGGACACGTGACTGAGTGGTCACTGAGCAGTAGCTGGGGGACCTGCCTGGTTTGGGGATGTCCCCCTGGCTATTGCTTGCTCAGTCCTCGAGGGGGACGTGTGGCTGGAGACCGTGGAGATCGAGTGTAGATGCCACACGACCCGCAGCATTCATGTTCAGGGTCACTGCCGCTGCTGGCCCAGGAGCAGGAGCTTCCTTCTCCCGAGCAGTGATGGCAGGAGTTGGCAGTGGGGTGGGTGGGGATGG